TGGGAGTTACTCCGCATGCGGTTAAAATGAGGCCAGGGGGGCTGAGGAACCGAACTTCTGGTTCTGTGCAGGTTTCATTAATTTACATGTAAGTAGCCATGGCCAGGGTGTGGGACAGCACAGAGCTTCAGGTTTGATTAGATTAAGGTTTGGACAGGGTTTTGAAATATTTATTTACTTATTTATTTGAGAGAGAGAGATGGATCTTCTATCCACTGGCTCACTCCCCAGATGACCACAAAGTGCAGGGACGGCCCACGCCCAAGTGTTTGAATCCTGGCCTTACCACTAGTAGCTGAGCGGCCATCTCTGAGCCTCAGTCCCCTGATCTGTAGAAGGAGAACAATGAGAACATCCCCCCCCCCCCCCCCCGTAGGTTGTTGTGAGGATGGCGGAGTTGGCGTGGGAAGTGCTTAGACTGGCAGACCTCCTTCCGGGGGCTGGTTGGTGGACATTCCCTGCATGCTGCTGTAGGGGGAGGGGGGCTCACCCGAGTCTCCGGTTACTGCTCCATGGCACGTGAATCCGTGCTGCTGGAGCCAGGCTGGGCTCCCTGGAGCTAGGCACCTGCTGGTATCCAGGCCCAAGCGTGCTGTCGCCCCGTCCCCGTGTGTGTCTCTGTCCGGCTGTGGTTCCCAGGAACATACTCTTGATATTCAACTGGCGACACGCAGTCACCAAAAATTGATTTATATCCATGGCAACTGTCACCCAGGGAACGGCAAGAAGCAGGAGTCCTCCTCCCACTGACATCAAACAGAGCCAGTGCCCAGAGCCCAGCGGGCCTGGCCGTCCTCTGGCTGGCCCTGGCTTGTCCACCCTGGGAGGATGTGAGGGTCTCCTTCCTTTTGCCTCGCCCCCTGCAGGGCCCAGCGGGCCTGGAGACCACAGACCCAGCCTCGGGACCGCCCAGCCGAGGGGGCTCTCCTGAAACCTGGCTTCTCAGCTAGCAGGTGGGATGCCGGGGGTCTGGTTGCCAGGCACACTCTGGAGGGGGCCTGGCCTTGGACTGGTGGTGGTTCCGTTTCCTGAGAAGGGATTGGTGGTGGGGCGTGTGGGAGCGCACGTCAGTTCTGCGGTGGGAGACAGGTCCTCTCCCGCTGCCCTCCGCCCCTGGGATCCCAGCTTTGCTGCCGTGTGTTTTTCTGCACATGCTTTCCCCTCTCTTTTGGTTTCTGATGCCTTCCCTGGAGGGTCCCTGGATGGGCTGCGGAGAGAGATGCACCTGACCATCGCACACCTTTCTTGAGGTCTGCTTTTTCTCCATGGTCCCAGGAAGCAAAATAGTCTTTGAATGGAATGATAAACTTGTTATTGGATTCTGCTCAAGTTCTGGCCTCGTTACCTTGGCAACTTCAGATTACAGCAGAATTTTGGACTATGTGTTTTAAAAATTCTGGTCTTCAGAAATATTTCATGAACAAACGGGTCTTTGCGGGCTCACAGGCCTGGAAGCGGCCTCCCACCCGGCCCCTTACCGGAGCGTTGCATTGCATGCGGCTGCTGAAGACGCTGAGGTGGGGGCTGTGCAGGGGCCGCCTCAGCGTTCTGTAAGCCGGCGCTTCCCATGCTTCCTTTGCCGTGGGAGCTTTCTTCTTCTTCCCATTCACGTGGTGTCCCACACTGCACCTGGGGAGTGGCCGGGGGGAGATGCCCTGGGCAGGGTTGGGCAAGGGCATAACTCCAGACTGCAGCTGGATTAACACACAGGACCCACCTGGACCCCAGGGACTGCTTCTGCCTCGCCCATGTTCCAGGACCACTGAGCTGGAACATACAGGCGTCTGTGGGGGAGGGTCGGGGCAGGAGGAGACTGATGTCCCTAAGAAACGCCCCGGAAGGCCACTCTCTGGCTTCTTGAGCACCTCTGAGCCAGAGAATTCACTGCCATCGCGGAAGCCAGTTGCTGATAAGCTTACCCCTGGCACACCGTGAGGTAGCGCCTGAGCCCTGGAGCCGGTGGCCAAGCCCAGTCTGCCAGCTGCACGGGCACGGGTCCCCTCTGTGAATTCACCGCTGTTGAAGTGACGCGGCCCCAGCCCCTCCTTGTCCTCCACCACCACCACCCCCCCGCACAGGCTGTGACTTGCTCGTGTTCTTCCCACAGGCGATGAGGAGTGGGTGGGAACGCGGCCTCGCCTCTCGCCACAGGCGCTGAGGGCGGGGCTGCCCTCCTGCCGGCCTCCTCCGAGGGCAGCTGCTCTTCTGTGTTGGGGAAGGTGCTTGGAGGCCGCCCCATGGACTTGACTTGTCCTCCCCTCCCAGGCGTGCGAGGCTTTGCGAGCCTCTGACCCAGTGGAGTGGCAGTGAGTGCATTGTCAGCTTGAAGGGACAGGAAACCTCCCTGGAGTGCCTTCAGCCATCAGGGGCCTTGGCACGGGGTGGCATTCAGCAGTGGGGCTGGAAAGTTGCTTGATCCCCAGATGTTGCTCCAAACCCCCCAGATACGCTCCTGGACATGGTCCCTTGAGGGTGTCCAATTGTGTGAGCTGTGCTCGGGGTTTTCTGGGGCTTTCGGACGCTCTGTTTCACCCTGTGTACCTGCCCTGCTCCGGGGAGGGAGGAATAGCCTATTAAATTCACCCCTGTGCTGTGCCTGCTGTCCTTTCTCCACTCCTAGGGTTGCACATTTCCTTCTGCTATCATTTCCTCCTGTTGGAGAACTTCCCTTAGCCATTCTTTTCTTTTATTCGAAAGGCACAGAGAGAGAGAGAGAGGAAGAAGGAGAGATCGCCCATCCTCTGGTTCACTCCCCAAATGCCTGAAATGGCCCTTAATGGGAGCTGAAGCCAAGAGCCTGGAAGCCAGCCCGGCTCTCCCATGTGGGCGGCAGGAACCCAGGTACTTGGGTCATCACCTGCTGCCTCCCAGCGTGCGCATTAGCAGAGGCTGGATTGGATGCAGAGCTGGGACGCACACCGGCGCTCTGAGATGGGTTGAGGGTGTCGCAAGCAGCATCTAACTGCCGTCCCAAATGCCATCCAAAGCATGATGGGTTTTTATAGGTGGAGATGTGGGAGCACTTTAGGAAGTGTCTTATTTTTTGTATGCTGTTATAAAAATGAATCAAATACCTTTTCTCTACTGGCTGCCAGATCTTTCCTCACCTGTTGGTTCCTTCTCTCTCCATCTTTTTATTTATATTCTCTCTTTAATTAAATTAATGAATTCATTGATCTATTCACACTCATTTTCCTCCATCCTTCCTTTTTCCTCCCATCCATCCATTCATTCCTCCACTCATCCTCCCATTCACCCATATTCCCATCATCCTTCCATCCATCCATCCATCCATCCTTCCATCTTCCCATCCCTCTTCCCATCCATCTATCCATCCATCCATCCTCCCATCCATCCATCCTCCTATCCATCCATCCATCCATCCTCCCATCCATCCATCCTCCTATCCATCCATCCATCCATCCTCCCATCCATCCATCCTTCCATCTTCCCATCCATCCCTCTTCCCATCCATCCCTCTTCCCATCCACCCATCCATCCATCCATCCATCCTTCCATCCTCCTATCCATCCATCCATCCACCCATCCATCCCCCATCCTTCCATCCTTCCATCCTTCCATCTTCCCATCCATCCTTCCATCCACTGTTGAAAGAACGGTGTCCTCCCTCCAGTTCTCTGTGGCTGTGGGGTGTAAGCTGCTCTTCTCTGACACTTCCTTTTTTGGGAATGGGAGAGGAGGGTGGGAGGGGCATAGCCCGTGTGGGGTGAGCAGTTGGATTTTTTTGGGTGAAGCCACTGAGAGACAGCTGGGCTCAGAAGCAGCAAAGTCAGGTGGCCTTGGGCCTGAGGGACCTATCACAACCACTGACTGTATGTGGGCCTCTGGGCCTCAGTTCTCCTCATCCATGATGTGAAAGGTTTGGTTGGTGCTCTCTGGTTTCGGCTTATGTTGCTTGTAATGATTTGGAGCTTCCCAGGGAACAAGTCAAGCAGAGGGAAGTGCAGCTGGGTGAGGACGGTTCTGGGTCCTTGGCAGTGCCTGAGCGCCACCCTCCCGCCAAGTTCTCGGACAATTAGTGCCTCCCAGCCCTCCAGGCTGGGGTAGAGCAGGTGCACTGGACTGAGAGGATGAGTCAGCCCTTGCAGAGTGCCTGTGCGGAGACAGTGCCTGTCCAGAGACGGTGCCAGCCTACCTCCTGGAAGGGAGGGGGCTTCCAGGCTGGGGCAGGTCCCAGACTTCAGGGCACCGGGCTCTGAGACCTGGAGGTCACGCAGTCTCTGATCCCCCCTGTCGCAAACTACAGCTTGGAAACCCAGGGCAGGCAGGGGCTTGTTGGAGGCCACAGAGGGAAGTTGGTGACAGCATCAGGGCTGAACACAAGTCTCTTGTCTCCTGGTCTCACCACTGAGAACTCACTCTCACTCCTGAGCTGTGTACCTGGGGCGAGGCCTTGCTCTGCCGGACTCATGTTCCCACCTGGCCCTGGGACTCTTCATCCCTGTCTCCCAGGGGCCGTCTCATGCCCGTGACCCCCCTTCCCAGGCTGCAGGAAACGCCTCTCTCCCAGGCCTCTGCGGGGAAGTCGGAGCTCGGGTCCCCTGCTGGCTCCCTCCCCCGGCCGCCCTGCCTTGCATGCAGGGGCCTTGCTCTCTGTCCTTGCCTGCTGGTGCGCCTCCGCCCTGCTGCAGCTGGCTGGACAACAGCTGCTCCTCCCCCAGGGCCTCAGTGGCTGTCAGGGAGGAGCAGAGCCCCAGCGAGGTGCTGAGCTGGGTGTGACGGCCTCAGTGGGCCAGGCCTCCCTGCTCGGCCCTCCTGAAGAACAGGAGCCCGGCCTGGAAACACCCTTGGTGTCTCTGGGCTCTCTGCTCTCAGCAAGGCTGCGTGGATTGGACAGCGAGGGTTAGGATAGGGTAGGGTGTGGAATGATGGCTGTTGTGTGGATTTCTGGCCAGGGGCCTGGACTCACTGAGGAAGCACACATGGCTGAGAGGTTCATGTTTTTAAAAAAGTTGGGGTGGAGGCACCTGGTTGGGGGGAGGCCACAGTCTTCTTGCTATGTAAGTGCTTCTGGGGGAGAAATGGAAAGGCCTACTATGCGCTAGACAAAGTCACAAGCCTGTTACCTGGGCCTATTTAATATTTCCAGCAGCTCTAGCAAGTCAGCACCATTATACCCATTTTATAGATGAGGAAACTGAGGCCAAGAAAGGTTACGTACTGGGGGCAGGATTCAGACCCAGCTCTGCCTGCTATTGAGGCCTGGCTGCTCCCTCTGTCTGCCCCTCTGCCTTTCAAAGCAGCTAGTGAGCTGGCCCCAACTGGGCCCAGCAGCCAAGTGAGCAAAACCAGGGGCTCAATGCCAACAGCCCTGCCCCAAGGCTTCCTTGCTGTGACCATCACTCTGTCTCGCTCTCTGGCATCCCCAGCCCCAGGGAACAGGTGAGTCACTGGGGAGTGCCCAGCACCCGGGCGAGCCACAGAGGCCACAGAGGACCAGTCTCCTGGCTCTGGCTGCGGCACACAGAGAGCGGTTGCTATGCAGCCTTGTTTATCCAAGGAGAGCCCAGAGCAGCAAGTCACCTGCCGCCCGCCGCCACGGCCGCCCCAGCGCCTGCCTGGACAGGAGGCTGTGGCCCAGTGGACTGGGCGGGGGCCAAGGCGGGCCAGGCTGGGGGCTGCCCGGTCCTTGCCCACTCCCTCCTGGGGTCCACAGCAGCATTGACTTTGGAGGGACCAAGGACCCTGAATTCCCCTGGCGGCAGGGGTTTGGCATCTGGACAGAGAGGTGAGCGGTTGCGGGTCCACCACCCCACTGGCACGGGAAGGGGCGGGGGGTGGTCAGGGCCCTGAAGTCCTTGGAGGGAACAGACAGGGACCGGACTTGGAGCAAGCACACGGCTGTGGTGAGAGGCACCGTGCCATCGTGACCTGGGGGCTGTGTGACCACGGAGCGGCCGGCCCCTCTCTAGACTTCTGTGCAACTCCGGCGGGGGAGGTGGGACTCCCTGCTCTCTGGGCAGGAGGCACTGCCCAGGTCCCGGCTTATGACCTGTGCAGGTGGGCGGTGCTCCACCTCGCCCGTGGCCAGGGCTCCAGGGAGCGCGAGGGCGGTGGTGTCCCAAGGGACAGTGGGGCACGGGGGGGACCCAGTTAAAGCGTTGAGTTTGGACTCTAACACCAGCCACTGACGCTCTTGCTGGCCTCTCAGCCTCAGTTCCTCATCTGTAAAGTGGGGTCAGTGAGTCCTCTCTGGGAGTGGAGACACCCGAGCCGGGCATGTCCCCTGCAGCCTCTGCGGCCCAGGCTGGCTTGGCTGGTTTCCGTCCAGGGAGAGCTGAAGAGGCATGCTGCGGCCGTGGGGGAGGGGTGCTGTCAGCCTGAGCCCTGGGGGACACCTAGGGGGCGGGGGCTGTCCCCACAGCCGTGAGCCAGCTGGGACGGGACACACACCGCGTCGCACGCCCCTGTTCTTCTGTTGGACATCTGGGCCGGGCTCTGGCTTTGGGCCTCTCTCCAGATGCTTGCTGGCCACATTCTTGGGCATCTTTTCCTGGATCGAGTGTGGGAGATCGTCTCAGGGTGCCTACCTAGGGGAGCGGAACTGCCAGCCCTGGGGTCTGTGCATCTGTAGCCTGGTAGACGAAGCTTCCCCGCCCCTGCCAGCCCGGCCTGGGGCCCCCCGCCCCGAGCACACCTCCACACGTGGACTCACCGCTCACTGTGCCCGGGGCTGATTTGGCGGAGTGGTGGCCCTTTGCCTTGCACCAGGAGCCTGAGCCCCCGGCCCGGCCTCTTCTCCCCTCTGCTTTTCCTTCCCTGAGCGCCTCCCTTCCCCCGCTCGCTGCCCCCGCTGCCCCCTCTCCCTTTCTCTTCTCCGCGGCGGGCTACGCTCGTCTGTTACTTCTCTGTCACTGGTCCGTGAGCTACAGACGTAGCCTCCTGCCTGCAGCCCCCAGATTTCCACTTTGGCCCACCTCCCATCACCACCTGGACCTTGGTTTCCGGCAGAAGCCATTGAACGTTTCTGAGGCCGAGCCCAGCCCAGCCCCGTGGCCTGGACAGGCACAGGCAGAAGCCTGACCCCTGTTCCAGGACAGCCCACCCTCTCACGGCACGTGACAGCCGGATGCCAGAGTCCAGGTCAGGACGCCTGCGCCGGGACTGTCGTTGGAAAGGGCGTTGGGTTTCTTCCCCGTCGCTCCCACGCCCGGGTCCCTGCCAGAGCTCACAGACCCTGGCTGGAAGACAGGAGCTCCCGCGCCGAGCAGGGGCACCTGGCGTTCCTGGAGCCCTGGCCACGCCCTTTTTCCTTCAAGACCCCGTGACCTAGACCAAGCACTCGGGCGCTGCCTCGAGGGTGGCAATCTCAAGGGGAGGACAGAGGCTGCCGAGTCCCCGGCCCCATTGCGCATCGCCCTGGCGCTTCCGGCGGGATTTGCTGCAATGGCTCCCAGCCCCACGGGAATATGGGCTCTGCCCAGGGCCTGGAGGGCCGAGGCGGGCGTTGTCAGGGGCCTTGGTGGGCAGCTGGAAAAGGCAGCTCTGCTCCCAGCCCCGCAGAAGGCTTGGTGGCTGCTGGCCACTGTGATGCCCTGGGCAGGCGCTGGCTCCTGATGGCCTTGGGTGCGTGGCGTGTTGCGGGCCCAAGGGAGGCGCGTGTTGAAGCCCTGTCCCCAGGGTGTTTGTCTTGGTGGGTGGGGCCTGTGGGAAGTCATTAGGGATAGGTGAGGCCATGGGGTGGGCCCCTGTGATGGGCTAATGGCCAGATAGCGCCCCCCTTTTCCGTGGAGGGTGTGGGGAGAAAGCCACCACAGCCAGGAGTCCTTACAGGGATCCCAGTTCAGCCCCCAGGACCGGGAGCCCCGGTTCTGTCATGTGAGCCGCCCAGCCGCTGTGGTTGGTCACGTCGGCCCAGGAGGGCTCAGGTTTGGTTCTGCAGGTGCTCGGGGCCTCCCACGAACCCTTCACCCGCCAGCGAGGACACTAGCTGAGTCGTTAGGAACTGTCCAGCCCGAACTGTAGCTACGGGGGAAGCAGGTACGGGCACTTGTGTTAAATTACCAGTGGGCGCTTTGATTCATCTCAGTTCCTGTCTGCATCAACACGATACACGAAGGCGGGGACAGGTGTGGGGGATTTTGGGTTTTATAGATTTATGTACCAATTACGGACCCTTTGTCACCAGGGCCATGGTGGGCTCAGACTGTTCCTTCTGAGTATTAGAAAAACATGCTTTTTTAAAAAAGATTTATGTACTTGAAAGGCAGAGAAACAGGGAGAGGGAGAGGGAGAGGGAGAGGGAGAGGGAGAGGGAGAGAGAGAGAAAGACCTTGCATACCCAACAGCTGGGGCTGGGCCAGGCCGAAGCCAGAAGCCAGGAGCTTCATCCTGGCCTCCCACAAGGGTGCAGGGCCCAAGCACTTGAGCCAACTTTAGTTCCTTTCCCTGGCCATCAGCAGGGAGCTGGATTGGAAGAGGAACAGCTGGGAATGGAACTGGCGCTCAGATGTAGAATGCCAGCATCACCCATGGCAGCTTAACCTGCTGTGCCATGGTGCCGGCCCCCAAAGGACGCTTCTTCCTCCAGACTCTTTACTTCCAGTCATCAGAAAAAGACTGAAAAGTGCAGCGTTGCAGTGTGTGCAGTGTGAAAGGCGCCCCCTTAATAATGACAGCCTTGGGCAGTGCTCCACATGAGCGCTAAGTGAAACTGCAACTCACAGACCAGCGTCTCAGCAGAATCCCCTGGGGCTGGGAGGACGCTCCCCTTCTTCTCCCCCGCCCACCCATTCCCCACTGTCCTCCCCCAACACACGCCCTGGGCTGCTGTGATCCGTAGCTGTGTGGAGCACACGAATGTCGGGGAGGCCCTGTCTGCCCAGGGCTGCTGCCCGCCCGCTGTGTCCTGAGGTCACTAAGAGGTGCTCAGCCTGCTTCCCCGCCTCTGTTCTGCTGGGGAGGGGTCTCTTCCCAGCGTTTCCCAGCCTGACCTGCTCTCCCAGTGTCCGCCCTGGCCCGCCCACCACCTCCTCTCGGTCCAGAATACTCAAGCAATAAAGGCCATCCTGTGCCACGAGGCCATGAACTTGCCACCCAGCCCCAGCCTGGCCTCCGTAGCCTCCAGAGACTTGCACAGGGGACAGTCCCCTTTCTGTGAGCCTCTGAACACAGCAAAACAATGACTCAGCAAACAAGGGTTCTAACAGCCACTGTCCAGTGAGCACCTGCTCGGGGCCAGCCACAGCCTGAAATGCTTTTCCTATTTCGTTGACTTTTCTCAGTAACCTCGTGGGACAGGTATTATTTCCATTTTGCACATGAACAGAGGCTCAGGACGTTCAGCCGCGTGTCCCAGGCCACACAGCTGACAGGCGTGGGTTCGAATCCATGCTTGCTGATCCCTGCACATACACTCTGACATGCTCGGTGATGAACAGACACCATGGCCTGACTCTGCCAGGCTCTGTGTGACCTTGATAGAGGTCGTTAACCTCTCTGGGCCTCAATCTCTTACCTACAAAGCGAGGACAATGCTATCTACTTTTTTTAGTTAAGCAGCATGGGATCTGGAATCATACAGAGCAGTGCTGGGACAGGGCACCCTGGATCTCAGGAATGTTAACTGCCTGCACCTCATTTCTGCTCAACAAGACTGTGTGTAGAGAGGGCTTTAACTTTTAAAAAAAATATTGGTTTAATTATTTGAAAAGCAGATTGACAGAGAGAGAGGGAGAGACAGAGATCTTCCATTCACTGGTTCACTCCCGAAATGGCTGCAATGGCCAGAGCTGGGCTGATCCAAAGCCAGGAACCAGGAGCTTGTTCTGGGTCTCCCATGTGGGTGCAGGGGCCCAAACACTTGGGCCATCTTCTACTGCTTTCCCAGGCCCTTAACAGTGAGCTGGATGGGAAGTGGAGCAGCTGGGACTTGAACTGGCGCCCACATGGGATGCTGGCGCTGCAGGCAGAGGTTTAACCTGCTCCGCCACAGGGCCAGCCCCACGTTCTTCCGATCCCTCTCTTGTGGCTTGCCGGGCACGACTCCTCTGGCCTCCCCAAGTGTCCTTGCTCTTTCTCCCTATGGCTTCCCTGCCTCTGTCAGCTTCTCCTTACTGTACCTGCAGACCTGAGACAAGCTACTCAGGAGGGGGAGTTTTGTTTTTAGGCCCCTTGGTTTTGTGCCTGGTGAGGACAGAGGTGGCTCCATGGAGGAGCTGGGGGACAATGCATGGCCCCGCCTGGGGTGACAGTGGGCATTCATTTGTTCTGCCTGGAGTGACAGGCAGGGTCGGGGAGGGTCCTCTCACCCTGCCTGGGGTCACAGTGGTGTCCACTGATCCTGCAGAGTCACCCTGACCATTCACTCAGAAGCACGAACTCATAGACGTGAACTTGAGGGGTCAATGGCACCATCTAGTTTCAGCCTTTTACTCGCTGAACACATCTGTCTCCTCCCACGGGAGGGTATCTGTGCAACCTGGTGTGTCTTGTACGGATGGGGGTCTGGCTCATCGTAAGTTTAAAGATATGATGGCTATATGGTCATGCATGTTCATGCGTGTGTGCATGTACCTATGCAGGGCATGTGTGTACAAGTATGTATGGCACATATGCACATGTGTACATATATGCATGTGTGTGCCCTGTGTGACTCTGTGTGTGTGCGTGTGTGTGTGCATGTGTGTGTGTGTGTGTGTGTGTGTGTGTGGTTGTTCTCCCCAGGGAAGGAGGCGGAGGGTTCAGATCCGACACTACTGAGCCACTGGAATATATCAGTAATGGCAC